ATATTCACTAAGAGTTTTTGTTTGTTTTGCTTTCTTTTCTTTTTCAAGGCAAGGGAGGTGGGAGGGAAAGAAAATAAGTTATTAATTAAAAATAAAATTAAATTTTGGATGTGATTCCTACAAGTCTCTTTCAGATCCTAGAACCTTTTAGACACTTTTCCTAAAGCAGATAATTTGGGAAAGGACCTGGGGTAGAGGAGAGAACCAAGAATTCAGAACCAGGCCCAAGTTCAAATCTTTGCTCTACCACTTACTCCTGGGCAAATCCTATCTCCTCTCGGGAGCCAAGTTTTCTTTTCTGTCTAACGAAGCGGTTGGCCCAGGTGATCTCTAAGAGCCTTCCAGGCCTAACTTCTAGGATCTTAACCTCTCCTTCCGCTAGCAGGTGGCTCCTAGACTCTGCTCTTCTGCACTGCTACTGTAAAATGCCTTACCTCCTTCTCTCCACTCCTGCAGCCACCACCCTGGCCCAGACCCTTGGGACTATGACAATGACTTCCTAATTGATCTCCTTGCCCCAAGGCTCTTCCCACTCCATTCCAGGGCCATACAGCAACTAAGTGGTGCCTCTAAAGCTCTGATGTTATCATTTGTGAGAAAGGTAGCAGGGCCAGGATTCAAACCCAGGTCTTCTGACTCCAAATCCTGTGCTCTTCTCACCAAGCCCCTTTTTTTCCTCAGAGTCTCAGTCTTTATATACAATTTTGTTCTGATTTGACTCCAAAGCAGCAGGTGTTTGTCAAACACCTCATTGACCTGGGTTCAAGTCTCACCCATGCCACATACTGGTTGTAGCTGCGTGACCTTGGGTAAGTCACTTGGCCTCAGTGCCCCATATAACTTTCTAAGTCTATAAACTGACAAGGTGTTAACCTGTGTAGGTAGACTTCAGAGTTCCATACACCAATGGGACTAAAAAGAAAGAAAAATGTGTTACACGCTGAGATTACAAAGACAAAAGGAAAACTAGTTCCTGCTGTCCTCAGGATCCTTCTATTTTAACTTATTTGGAAGATAACATTACTTTCAATAATTTTCACAATTCTAACTCTGATCCCTATTCTGGAAGCTTTGAAGGCAGTCAGGAAAAGATTCTGAACAGTACTGGCAGAGCCCACACCTTCTGAGTTTAACTCCAACTCTGACACATACTAGCTGTGTGACTCTAGGCAAGTCACTTAATTGCTGTCTGCCTCAGTGTCCTTAATTGTAAAACTGAGATAATAATAGCACTTACTTCACAGGGTTGTTGTAAGGATCGAATGGATATTTGTAAAACATTCAGCACAGTTCATGACACATAGTAGGTGCTTAGTAAATGTTTTGTTTTTTTTAAATCTTAAAGTCCTCAAAAGGGCTAAACAAGGCCCATTCTGAGGCCTCCAGGCTGGACTCCTCTGGATTTCTCCATCATACCCCAGAAAGCTTTTCTTCTGGGAGGAGCACATTGGCCCTGGAACTCATACCTCAGAGGTACCTTGTGCCCCTCTGACTAGGAGGGTCCTTCTAGAAGCTTCATTTAAGGAAGCTGCCCAGGCCAGTCATCTCTGCATTTCCCACCATCCTTCACTCTCCTGGACTTCCCATCATGACCCCCTCTCATTCCTCTCTCCCCCTATGCATTGTAGCTTCCTTTTCTGTGTTGTCTTCCCCAAAGGGATGTAAGCTCCTTGAGGGCAGGAACTATCTTTTTGCTTGTATTTGCATCACTACAGCTTAGCACAGGGCCAGGCACATAGCAAGCACTTAATAAGCATTTGGTGAATTGTGGCTGACTTGGTACCTACAGAACTTTGGGAAAATCCTTTCTCTTCTGGGCCTCAGTTTCTTCCTCTGAACAATAAGGAGACTGGATCAGGTACCTACTCTTTGTGTGCTAAGTACTGGAGAAACGAATATAAAATTAAGAATCTCCGACTGCAGGGTACATATGATGATACAGACAAAATAAGTATGCATGGGGGCTTTTAAAAACTGGAGGACTCAGGAAAGTCCTCTTGAAAGTGGCACCTGAGGTGGGACTAAAAGAGACCAGGGGGTTTTAAAAGGTAAAGAAGAAATATATTCTAGGTATGGAAACCAGCCTTGCAGAGGCACATAAGCAGGAGATGGAATGTTAGATAAATGAGCACGTTTGGCTGAACTGCGTGCAGATAGGAATGATAGGGAATCACTCTAGAAAGGCTAGGTAAAGCCAAATGGTGAAGGCCTTTTAATGCCAAATAAACAAGTCTATATTTTATCCTAGAAGCAATGGGGAGCTATCGATGTTTCTAGAGTAGTGAGGTGGTCACACTTTTGCTTTAGGAATAGCAATTTGGCAACCATAGAGAGGAATTAAAGAGGGGACGGAAGGGAGGCCCTGTAGGAAGATATTGCTTTGATAATAAATGCTTATTGAATGATCTTGGATGGTAAAACTTACAAGGCCTTTTGACCTGCCTCCAAACCAGGGACACACTTAGCGAGTGCCTATAATGTGGCGGTCTAAGATACAGTCTTGCAATGTTTAGAGAGAAAGGATACAAACTTAAAAGACAAAGATACAAAGCAGGCATGTGTTTAAGTGCTGGCACCAGGGTTACAATGTGTGGTACAGTGGGAATGGGCATGAATCACAAAATGTGAGGGGTAGGACAGAAGGAAAATGGAGCCCAACTCAGACCTGAAATGAATCCCCACTCTAGCAAGTGCTTGTCCAGTCTCTGCTTGAAGACCTCCAAGGTCAGGGAGCTCACCACCTCTTGAGGCAGAGTGCTCCGCTTTAGGTAGGACCCCTCTAATGACTGGAACATTGAACCTAAGTCCACCTCTCTGCCAATTTTACTCATTGCTCCTGATTCTGTCCTCTGGGGCCAAATAGGACAAGGCGGATTATTCCTCCAGGACGTGACAGCCCTTGGAATCCTGGGGGACAGCTCTCATGTCCCTCCAGTCTTCTCAAGGGTATACATGCCCAAGGGTTAGACCAGACTTTGAATTCCAGTTCTGAAACTATATGACATCAGGCAAATCCCAGCCTCAGGGACTTGGGGGGGGGGGGTTGGAGTAGATCAGGGGCTCTTAACTTCTTTTATATCAGGACTCATTCTTGGAATAATGTTCTTTAAATACAGAGATTCAAAGGTGAGAAGTTGGTGAAAATAAAGATGGCTTTTTTTTCCTCATTCAAATTCCGGAACCCCCTGAAATCTTCCACTCAGGTTAAGAACATCTAGATTAGTCTCTCACTAAAAACAACAATAACAACAAAGATCATTGGAAATTGGAGCTGGACTAAACCTAACTACTCATTTTTACAAAAGAAGAAACTGATACTCGGAGAAGGGAAGGAACTGCCACTTGGAGCACCCAGCTAGGGAGTGCATCCAGGCCTCCTAACCATCAGTCTACAGTAGTTTGCTCTCTACTACACCTGATTCTTTTTTTCCAGGGCTTTCATATACTTGGTAAGTATCCTCTGTTGGAGCAAAGGTGAGAGCTGAATCCAGGGTTTGCTGCTGTTCCCCACCTGTATAACCCTGAGTAAAGTCACTTCTCCTTTCAAGGCTTCAGTTTCTCCATCTGAAAAAACGGGAGGGGGGGGCCTTGAACTAGATGACCTCTAAGGGGCCTTCTAGTTGTCAGGGCTACCAAGAGTTCCATTTCCTCCTCTTTAGCTGAGGGATCAGACCAAGTGTGACCTTCAGCCAGAGAAAGGAGGTCTTTGGGGCTTCCTTACCCATGGCCCATCTCTAAAGTCCTTTCCAGCTCTGAGGCTCAGGTGACCCAGTGAGGCCCCCTTTCCTCTAACACATGGGAAACCGAGGTGCTTACTGGGACAGAGGATTCACTGCATGGTCCACTTTATGCCTGCTGCAAGGCACTGTGTGTGCACAAAGAACCAGCAGCATTCATTCACCAGCCTCAAGTCTCGCCCTGCTCCTCCCCCACCCCTTCAACGGAGGCACACAGGCAAGGACCCTTTCTTAGCTTTGAATCACCCAACAATGCCCCTCTGGAGAGCAGCACAATAGGACACCTTCTCCCTCCTCCCGATTGGCCTCCAGCCTAGTAGGAGAGCCCTCCCTTCCCACTCCACCCCCCCCCCCTTCCGGGGGAGTTCTGGGCACAAACCTCCTCAGCTCCCCTCAAACACTGCTAACCTCCCACCCAGGGACAGCTCCAGTCCGGCCCCTCCCCCCAACCCAGCCCTAGACTCTGCCCCTCCCCCATCCCAGAGAAGTCCTGGCCCTCCCCTTCCCTTGTCCCCATCCCAGCGACGTCCCCCTCCCTACCTCCCTCTTCTCTCCATTCCGACCCTCCCCCCTCCAGTCTCAGCCCCATCCCAGGCCCTTACCTCTTCCACAGGGTAGCGCCTGCCCCTCCCCCATCCTATTGTGAGCATGGTCCTTCCCCCTTATCTTGACTTAAACCTTCCCTTTCTTCCCCACAATGCTCCAAGTCCTATCTCTTTCTTCTCTCCCCCCCCCTACCCTTTCCCTCTCTCCCTCGTCCCAGAGCAGCTTCCCCCGCCCCCATCCTCCCATTGTGGGCACAGACCATCCTCCCATCCCAAACCTTTCCCCTGTTCCATCCCTCCGGGTCCTGCCTTTCCCCCCATCCTCCCATTGTGGGCA